GCTTGAGTCCAGCTCCAAAACACCGTGGGTGGTGGTGGCAAGTGGCGAGTGAGTGGTGGTGGTAGGTGGTGGTGGCAGGTGGGTGGTGGTGGCGGAAGACGGTGGTGGAAAATGGTGGCGGGTGGTGGCTAGTGTTGGGTGGTAAAAAAAAAAAACTCAAAACTCAAAACGGAAACACATTTTTTGTGTTTTCATTTTTTGGCCAAATTTATAAACTGAGTCCACTTATTTATAAATCAGAAATTTTACCAAACAAGTTTTTATTTGAGTTTTTTAAATTTTTGTAAATATAAACAGAAAACTGAAAATGTAAGTGTTACCAAACGGCACCTTAGTATTTTTGCAGACCTACAAATATTGGAAGAGTGTGTTCTACGCTTGAGCGGGTGGATGCTCGAGCGGAGTCCTTCGTTTGCAAAATTTCTGGAAGTGTGTATTCCACGCTCGAGCGTAACTTTCCATGCTTGAGCGAAACTTTGTGTTTGACGCTCGAGCATCACTTTCCACGCTCGAGCGGACTGCATGTATAACAGTCCGTGAAAATGTCATTTTGAATCACTTTTTTCATTTCTCTCTCTCTTTAAAACTTTCCAAAAACATAGTTCTTGAGTTTCTCTCTCTAAAACCCACCTTCTCTCTTCTATTTCATCTATATCCATTGGGATCTTCACCATAGTGCCTTTGAGAAAAAGATAGAGCGTCTCAAGATCTTCTTTTTTATCCGAATAGAAGTGGGTTTCGGTGTTCTTGGAGTTTCACTCTTGCTTGGCTCGTCTTCTCTCTTTGAGGTAGGGATCTTCTACACATTAATATGGTTTTTTAACTTAGTTAATTGTCGATTGTGAAACAATGGTGGGATTTGGGGGTAATGTGAACAAACCTAGGATTTGAGCATCAAATGAAAAGAGGGGTTTGGGCATCAAATGGAAAGAGGGGTTTTGGTGAATATGAAACAAATAAGTATGAGATTTGAAAATGAGATTATGTTGTGTCAAAATGGTTGATTTTAATACTTGGGTTGATATTTGGAGAAAAAAGGGTTTTTGCCTTAATTGAAACAAAATTGTTATTTTGTATAAATATTTGAAATTGACTTTGGGAATGTGAAATTGGGTGATTATTGATATAAATGGCGGGATTTGATATGTATTATCTCACACCTTTGAAAGTTTTGAATAAATTATCTGTCATGAGATTGAATATCTGTTTAGAAATAACTGTATTGGGCTATCGGTGGAGGATAGCTATGATTGTTGTAGAAATTGCATGAGGATTAGGTGAATTAAAACTAGTCCATGGTTGATTATCATTGAATATGATCATGTATAAATACGTTGTACATGTATGATTGTTTGTGAGGAGAAAGGGGATGTACTTCATGAATGATTATGTGTTTAAATACATTGCATATATATGATTGATTGTTTAGGAGAAGAAAGGGGATGGACTCCATTGTTTGGGAGGAGAAAGGGGATGGACTCTATTATAATTAAGTTGGCCGGAGTGTTCTGGGTGAAAGTCCCGAAATTTGTACATGGGTGCCGATCTTGCGGACGAAATTTTCGTAAAATGACAATTTGAAGTGTTTGCATGTTGACGTTGTGATTGTAGAACCATTGAGTTGTAGTCTCATTTGGGTTATTAAAGAAATAACGAAATTGGCATATGTATTGAGATGAATTAGAGGGAAAATGAAATGGAATAAGGATTTAATATCCCATGGTTACATAAAAGTATGAATGTTTTATCCTGGGTATTGTATATGCGCATTGCATTTTTATTTTTGTTAAAACTCATATATTGTATTAGATTATTCCTACTGGGCTGTGCCTCACCCTACTTAGGAAAAACATTTTCAGGTCATGAGGGCATG